TAGGATGGAGACAGAGAGCTGAGACTCATCAGATGGATGACGAGGTCCTAGGCGTGATTAATCAGGTTGCCGATGGCAGATACTTGGAGAGTATGTGAAGTAGTTATATGGTGGGTCAGGGTCACCTGGTGAAGGAATAGGTTTTCTTCCAAATTACTCCAAGATGGGGAAAGTTATAACCATCAGATTATCAGCTATGTAAATTGTCTCCTATTATAATTTAAATAGTCCACTTTCATCTGAATTAGAAAGGGATGTGTGTAACCAATGGCTAGCACTTTGCTATAATTCAGTTGATAACAATCAAGTGGCATTGTTTCTGACTGGAGCTCCTCTTGCCAGGACTAATATTAGCCAAAATTGACTGTTCCTCCTTCTCATTGTGAAATATACATAACATAAAATTACCATTTTAGCCGGGAGTGGGGGTAGGGTGGGGGGGTGGCACACGCCTTTATTCCCAGCACTTGGGAGACAGAGGCAGGCGGATCTCTCTGAGTTTGAGATCAGCCTGGTCTACAAGAGCTAGTTCCAGGACAGCCTGCAAAGCCACAGTGAAACCCTGTCTTGAAAAAAAAAATCACCATTTTAGCCAGTTTAAATTATATAGTTCAGGCCTATTAAGAACCGTTCAACCATCGCCACCACCCAGCTCCATAAACTGTTTCTTACTTCACATTATTAAAACTCCGTGCCCATTAAATAACAACTTCTCATTCTCTGCTTCCTCCAGCCCATGGAGACCACCATTCCCATTTCTATCAATGGAATCATGTCTTTTTTATGGCTGGCTGATGGTGTTAGGAGTTGTCTATGCTATATGTTGTTTTAATCACTTCAGGCTTCTCTGACAAAATACTATAAACCAGGTATCAGATAAGCAATAGATATTTTCTCACATTCCCTGGGACTGTGTAAGACTAAAAACAAGATACTGATTAATGTGATGTCTGGTGAGGCCCCACTTGCCGGCTCCTAGACAGTGCCTTCTGTACGTGCTCACATGAGGGAGAAGTTAAGGGGCTCTCCAGCCTCCTGTAAGCTCACTGGTCCCACTCACCAGGCCGTAGGACACAAGTCCAAATTTCCTTCCTTAAAGTCAATGCTATCTCATTGCATGTATATAGCATTTTATTTATCCTCCCACATTTTGACTATTATTACATAGCGATGTTATTTTACATTGTCACTATGATTGGATAACGATGTCCTGACCAGCTGTCATCAGATATTGCTGTGCTTCTGCATCTCAGGCAGTTTAGCTGTAAGACATCTTAATACTAGTGCCGCTTCCCTTTGCCTAAATGAGTTCAAGTTTGGTTCCTTTCCCTTGTAACGTAAAGATTTTTGTTTGTTTTTGAGACAGGGTTTCTCTGTGTAGCCCTGGCTCTCCTGGAATGCACACACTCATACCGTTGGTCTGTATTCCTGGGTAGGTCCATGACCATGTAAGGGGGAAATTCTATGGAGTTGTATAAAGTGTCAAGGAGAAGAGCCTTGCTTTCCAACCTATATATCTTTTAAGAACATGAGGAAATCCACGGGTATGAAGTTCCGGTTAGGAACAGGTTCTAGGTGCTATTTATCACATAGTCCAGTGACCTCAAATAGCAAGGATGAATTGTATATTTCAAAAAGTCAGAAAAGATTTTGAATATTTCCACCATCAAGAAATGCAAAAGATGAGCCGGGAGTTGGTGGCACACACCTTTAATCCCAGCACTTGGGAGGCAGAGGCCAGCCTGGTCTACAGAGCGAGTTCCAGGACAGGCTCCAAAGCAATACAGAGAAACCCTGTCTGGAAAAACCAAAAAAAAGAAAAGAAAGAAATGCTAAAGGTGAACTGCAGTGCTGTTTAATTTGTGGTGTGACTGGCTGGCATTCACAGAGTCCTGGGGTTGACCCTCAGCACATCAGAGAGCCAATGCACTGAAGCATCACTCTAACCCCAGCAATAGAGAGCTGGAGGCAGGAAGATCCGAAGTTCAGGTTATCTGTGGCTACCTAGCGAGTTCAAGGCCAGTCTAGGTCACCTAAGATGCTGTCTCAAAGGAGGAGAAAGAAGAAGAGGAAGAGGGGAGGAGGAGAAGTAGTGTTGTAAGAAATGATAAATATGGGGCTGGAAAGATGGCTCAGTGGTTAAGAGCACTGACTGCTCTTCTAAAGGACCCGGGTTCAATTCCCAGCACCTACATGGCAGCCCACAACTGTCTGAACTCCTGTTCCAGGGCATCCAATACCCTCATAAAGACATTCATGCAGGTAAAACACCAATGTACACAAAATAAGTAATTAAAAAAGGAAATGATAAATGTTTGAGGAGACAGATATGTGGATATTTAATATGAATTAAGTATTGCATGGTATATACATGTATAGAAAGTAGCATGATTCTTCATATACACATTCAATGTTTATGTTCTTATATTTGGAAATATGGAAAAATAGCTTTAAATTTTAAAAAAGGACGTAGAACTCCCAAATAGCCAATACTTTCAATTTGTGCGCATAACACAAAAGGCTGACAAAACTAGCCACGCCAATTGGCAGTACAATAAATAGATGTGTGGCAGGCTTACAGCCCTCATCAGTCACCGCGCATTATATCCAGGACTGAAGCAGTTTCATAGATCATCAAAACATAAAAGCATATTGGTTGAGGTCTGGAGAGAGCACTTGTCATCCACAGCTGCTGACCCGTGTTTGATTCCGGTATCCCCGAGTGGAAGAAGAGACTGATTCCAACATTGTTCCTGACCTCCACAGATGCACCACTACACACGCATGCCGCTAAGAAGAAATCTTTAAAAATCTTTTCAATTTACCAAGTGACTCTTTGAATACTTTGGTGGCTGATGAATAAGCAAATGCAATATTTGTTTCCAACTTTGAATTTTGTTTAACATGTGCTTATCAGTTTCTGAGTGCTACCAGAATTCCTAGTAAAAGCTTCAGAGTGATAATATCAACACACTTTGCCTTTGTGTTTAGAAGTGGAAGCAATACCATAAGTTTATCACTAGAGAAAAGTGATAAATGCTTCAGAAGAATTTGGCATACAGTAGAGAATTTTTCTTTAAAACACAATCTCTAAAAGTCCCATATGAAAGGGTGTCTTTGGAGAAGAAAAAAAAAATAAGCATCATGAAAATGTGGGTATTATCTCCATTTCCTTGGGACAGCATAACATGCTTCACTATGGTTTTCTAACTACATTATTACATTTAACAGACAATTTTTCTTAGAACAGTAATTGCTGAATTATCAAGTACAGGAAGAGCAGAGCTGTAGGGATGTCATACAAATGCAGTCCCACAACTCAACACTAACCTACATCTGTGTTGTTCAGTTTCATTGTTTAACCAATCTTGTCTGTTCTCTTACCCAACATGGTCTTTTTGTGTGTGTTTTGTTATGTGTAGTGTATGTGCGCGCACACGCACGGATGTGAGAACAGACACATATGTGTTCATATACACAGAGGCCATCAGGTGTGTTTCTCAATTGCTCTCCACTTTACTTTTTTGAGGCAGGGCCTCTCATTGACTTGGACCTCACTGATTTGGTGATGACATATTTATAATGAGCCTTGCAGCTTGAAGCCATTGCAGACTGCCTTGATTTTTTTGCCCATCGTTGGAACAAGAATAGCAGGTCCATTTTCTACTTTGTCTTGCTAAGAACATTTACAGCCCCACTGAAAAGGTCCAGGAACTAACACTAACTGTTACGAAACAGAAAGGAATGATTAGGGCTTGCCAGGCAAGCATGAGAACCTGTTCAATCCCCAGAACCCTTTTTAAAAACACAAACGTGGTAGCCTGAGGTGGTTATCCCAGCACTGGGGAAGAGAAAAGAGGCAGACAGACAAACCCTGGGGTTTGTTGGCCAACCTATCCTACTTGGTGAGTTTCATGCTAAAGAAACAATGTCTCAAAAAACAAAGTGGACAGTTCCTGAAAAATGACCTAACTTTTCTTTGTCCTCCATCACCATGCACACAATGTGAGCCTACACACACACACACACACACACACACACACACACACACACATAAACACACACATGTTCATATACACACATAAACACACTCACATACACATAAACACACACATAAACACACTCACATACACATAAACACACACATAAACACACATACATAAACACACACACTCACACACATTCACACACATAAACACACACACATTCATATACACACATAAACACGCACACATAAACACACACTCACATACACATAAACACACACTCACATACACATAAACACACATATATAAACACACACACTCACACACATTCACACACATAAACACACACACACACACGAAATTAGTGATCAAACACATAATCTAAGGCTTGTAGTTATTGTACAAAATCATTGGTCCTATCAGCAGAAAACAAAAGATATTTTACTAACTAAATCACTCTAATAAGAATTTGTATATCAGCTGGCAATAATTTAATCTTGCCTGAAAAGATTCTGGACTTCCAGGTTTTGTTATTGTTGGGTTAAAATGCAAAAAAAAAAAATTTAGCTTATTAACCTGACGTGGTGGTGGCACACGCCTTTCATCTCAGCATTTAGGAGATAAAAGCAGGCAGGCCTCTGTGAGTTAGAGGCCAGTCAGGTCTACAGAGCAAGTTCTAGTATAGCCAGGGCTATACAGTGAAACCCTGTCTCGAAAAACCAAAAAAAAAAAAAAAAAAAAAGAAAAAATTAACTTATAAAAATTGTGTTTGAAAAAATATGTACCTGAAAATTCCACAAGTTTCTTTCTTATCAGAAGAGAAGAAACATTTACTGTTTTTACGTGTAAACGGTATTTGACCAGCTTATCCTCCAAATTCCCAGACTCTTCTGGGGAACTCCACAGGGTTGACCGAAGGAGCAGTCCTTTTTTTTTCCTTTTTTTTCTTTTTTTTGGCTCCATAAAGTCCCGTTTTAATTTTTCCAAGGTGTTTGTCTTCATAAAGCCATCTCTTTACATGGGCTTTGGTGGAGGTCGTGTTGCAGCACCAGCAAGTCTACATCGTGGTGGGGGTGTTCGGTCCTTCCGGGCTTCACGAGATCGATTCCTGACTACTTTGCTATGAATAGCACAGCTCACACAGCAATGCAGCTTGACATAGAGTTTGGGAAGCACATAAGCATCTAAGACGCTCGCTTCAGATATGTCCCTGACAGCAGCGGCCTCCACAATGTTCCGAATGATGAACTTCTGAATGGCCTTGTCCTTGGACAGGCACCGGGCGCTGTTCGTGCTGCAAATCGGCTGCACGTGGCCTCGGCCTTTTTGGGCGCGCCCATTGTTTCGTCTTTTTTCGGTCATCTTGAAGCCAAGACCTGAAAGAAGCAGAGAGCAGCCTTTTAAAAGTAAAAATCAGGCATGTGTTTCTTCACAAGGTCCCTTGAAGTAGAAAATCCAGATTTTTACCAATGTCTATCACAGAAGATTGGATATGTGAACTAACACCCATTCAATTTTGTGTGTGTATGTGTGTGTGTGTGTGCTTCACATGCCACAGCATGTGTGGAGGTAGGAGAGTCATTCACAAGAGTTAGTTCTCTCCCTCCACCGTGTGGGTCCCAGGGATCAAGCTCAGGTCATCAGTCTGGCAGCACGCACCTTTCCCTACCGAACCATCTTGCTCCGCCCTTAACTGCATTCTCTTCTTTCTGTCAGTTCTCTTAGAGCAATGAGAACAAGCTGTAAATTTAAGGATGTGGACACTTGGCCCACACACAATGCCCAGCCAACGAAGGTTGAAACAAAGTCTTCACAGCCTAGATTCACCTAAAGTCTAAGCCCAGGCAGCGATCACCGGCAGGACTTGAGGGACACATTGAGTGACTCTTAGAGAGGATGCTGACTGCAAAGGGTACCTGGTGTGTTTCTAGGAGTGCTACACACAGTCTGCCACCTGTCCTGGGTCCCTGTCACATGCCCATGCTTGGCTAGTGAATTTAATGGAGCACTCATGTGCATGTATGTGATATTTCAACAATCTGTTTAAACTACAGGTGAAGGAAATAATCCAATAAAGGAAATCTGAGCTGGGGAGTGGAGAGCAACAGACTGTGAGAAGTCAGGGAAAAAGAGAAACGGGCCAAGGAGGAAGAAGTAGCCCATGATGTCAAGTGACTCAAAAAAAGTTAAGTAGGGTAAAGGCCGAAAACTGCCCTTCAGGTGTGACAGTTGACCATGAAAAGAATAGTTTTGTTTTTAATAATTTATTTTTATGACCATTGGTGTTTTGCCTGCTTATATGTCTGTGTGAGGGTGCCGGACCTACTGGAACTAGAGAATGGAAACCAGGTCCTCTGGAAGAGCAGCCAGTGCTCTTAACCACTGAGCCATCTCTCCAGCCCTGGAAGAGAATAGTTTTAACAGGAGGCAGAAAACAGACATCAGAGGGTCACAGAATGAGGCAGGTGACCTGACAGAATGGCTGTGACTGAGAAGGGGGAGAAAGGGGACTGTAGTTAGGGGCACGTCAGGTCAGGGAGGTCTTCATTTCCCTCAGGACAGGGGAGGGTGGCCTTTCTAATATATGGGAAAGTCAGCCGAGAGAGATGCTGAATGTTACTGCCGGTGATTGATGGGATCCCAAGGAGGGCAGCAGGGAGGAATTAGCCTTGGGCAGGGGAAGGGTATCTTGCATTCCACGGACACTGTGGGAAAGAGGCCATCTGTGCACAGGTGCAGCTTCAGGAAGGAAGCAGGGAAGGATCCCACTAAGCTCGCTCTGCAGCCCTTATCTTCAATGTGAGGTAAATAGGGGCGCTACGTGAGATGTGTGGAAATCCTGTGTGAATTACAGTTGGCCACACATGTGAGAAAGCCAACTTCTTTGGTTTTCTTCTCAGCCACAACGCTTGTTCAGATGTCTCTGGTGAAGAGCCATTTATCCACAGTGTGAAAAATCCAAGGGGCAAATTCCTCAGTCTCCTGGTCTCCTTCCCCACCACTGTGTTTGTGTCATTTATTGGCAAATTACAGAGAAAGCTTGCAGCTATTCCGTTCATCTTGGTCATTTAACCCAATAATCAGTCTTTGCCCATTTGCCACTCTTTCTGGGCCAGGATTGCCAGAACCTTTGTAAAGACTTGCTGACCCTTGGTAAGTGAGTCCTGTCTGTACGTCAGGCTATGACCTCCGCTACCTGTTGCTGGCCCCAAAGAAGCTGTTTGTGAGCTTTGGTCATTTTCCTCCAGACCCAGTTATTTCTCCAGAATTGGTCCAACTTTTGTGTCAGTCAAAACAGGTTGTGTGGGGGCCTCTCCTGTTACCCCAGCTCTGGCAGATCAGATGAGCCCAAGGAAATGGTACACTCTTGAACATTTGAGAACGTCTTCCTGAACTTCAGAAGGTTGAAAGGTAGACCAGTTGTATTTCCCAGTGTCAAGAACTCTGCTGGCAAAGTGAAGCTACACCAGGGTGCTATTTCAAAGGGGGAGGCAGCTTGATAGCCCCAGTGCCTTGTTCATTCCATAAGTATTTCAAGTTTTGCAGGTCTGACATTCAGAAAAGACACAGAGTCTGGAGGTCTTAGATTTTCTGGGTATTACACACAAAATAGAACTTGCTAGATAAGCATTTTAAGGGCGTGTGGGAGAGCAGTTCACATGAAGCATCAGTCTGGGTTGTTATCACTCACCATGGGGGCCTGAGCAGCTAACTGAGCATCGCCTGGAAACCCAGAGTAACCACACTGCCAGGGTCAGACCCGATGCTCTGAACCCAGTGGGGGGGGGGTGCTAAACTCAACTGCCATTGTGCACCAAGGGTCACACATTCTAAAGCTAGCAACACCATCAGTGGACACTAAAAGCCATTCCAGTGCCAGGAAATACTTTTTGACAACCAGAGCCCCAGACTAGTTCAGAACAACTTCTTTTTTCAATGATCCATTTAATATGAATGAGACAAAGGAGCTAATCTTAGGAGTGTGATTCCTCACAGGCAAAGGCAGCCTCCACTCTGGGGAATTTATGATCAGGAGGTCAGAAAGGGACATCTCCAAAGACTGGGGACTTGCAGGTGTCTGCATGACTTTCAGTGTCAGAACCAAACAGGGCTCTGCACAGCCTCACAGCAAGTAAGGGGCCGGAAGAACCGCTAGTCCCAGCATCCACTGATGACAAACGAGATCACAAAGTGCTGTCTGTTTTTTCATTTTGACCTTGAGCTTGGCACAGCAGAAGGAAAATGGAAAGTACCGAGGCAGCATTTTGTAAGGTGGTGCTAGCCGTGTGGGAAACTATGTCTGTGGTTCCTGCCTGACAAAGAAAGCGTGTGATTTGTTGTCGGGCTCCTTCCATGAAATGTGTCAGTGGGAGAAACCCTCTCCCTAGAGAGAACTTGACTTCGGTGCAGCCTTGTCTCCCTCCCACCCTAGTGACTCACACTGGTCCTGATGAATCTGAGCCTTTCTCGAATATTCCGAGAGGCAGGGAACAGAAAAGAGTTAGAATCTGAGCTGCAAGCTGTGTGTCGGCCTTAGTCCCCACCATGGACTCATTTCCAGCACTGCCCCAGTGGGAATGTCACACAGTCATTTTAGCAAATGTAAAAACAATCATATGAGACTCAGGTAGACCCACATCCCAGCCATTATCCCAGGAATCCCCATAGACAGTGTGTAAGAGGCTTCATGCCTATGGATGGAGAAAATTCTAGTCTCTATTACTTTGTTAAATTATTAAAATACTTGTTAAATATTAAAAGTACTATTCTTGGGGGGCTAGAGAGATGTCTGAGATTGAAAGAACTTTCAGAGGACCTAGGTTCCATTCTCAGCATTCATATGGAGGCTGGCAAATGCCTATAATTCAAGTTCCATGGGATATGATGTATGCTGTACATATACACACATCCAGAAAGAATATATGTGCGTATATGTGTGTATAATATGTATGTGTATCTATGTCTATACCTATGTCTATGTCTATATCGATATCAATATCTATTTGCCTATATCTATATCTATATTCTTGGTGAACCACTGAGTTTTATGGGGTTACTTACAGGAGTATGAGTAAGGGGTAATTTATAGGAGCATAAATGACTCAGACAGGTGCACTATCAAAGCCCACCCTATGTGGATGACTGCTTATGAGAGGCAGAGACCAGGAGCTCATTGCACAGCCTAGTTTAGAGAGTATCTCCTCCAGATAGCTTAATTGGACTAAGCCTCTTCCAGGCGCCAACAATTGTCATGTGTGGAACATTGCTTTACACTGTGTGAAAATGTGTCACTGTAATTGGGTTAATAAAGAAGCTGACTGGCCAGTAGCTGAGTCTTGCAGAAAAAAAGAGAGGATGAAGAAGAGAAGAGGAGTTCTTGGAGTCTCAAGGAAACTCTAACTTGCCTTATTAAGAAAAGGTACCATGCCATGTGGCAGAGCATAGATAAGAAATATGGTTTAATTTAAAATGTAAGAGTTAGCAAGTAATGAGCCTAAGCTATTGGCTAAGCATTTAGAATTAATATTAAGCCTCTTTGTGGTTACTGGGGAGACAGAAAAGTCTGCCTACAGTTGTGAATATAAATCTATAAAGTGCTGTTTTTGGGTGCTGGGGTGTAGCTCAGTTGATAGAATGCTTGTTTAGTGGATTTGGTGCCCAGCACTACATACACTGAGTATGCTGGTACCCAGCTGTAATCCCATCACATAGAAAGTGAAGGCAGGAGGATCAGAAGTTCAAGGTCATCCTCAACTACATTGTAAGTTCCAGATTAGCCCAGTATAGACAACAGAACCTGTCTTTAAAACAAAACAACAACAACAACAAAAAATGCTTAACTGTTTGTTTGTTTAAGGTTTTTCAAGACAGGGTCTCTGGCTGTCCTGCAACTCGTTATATAGACCAGGCTGACCTCGAACTCAGAGATCCTCCTGCCTCTGGCTTCTGAGTGCTAGGATTAAAAGCATGTACCACCACCACTACCCAGCTGAAGAATGTTTTCTTGATACCCCAGGTTATGTCTATTAAAATGAGGAGGGAGAAGGTCTCCAATATGCCAGAAGCATTTCGAGAAAGTTCACGAAGGGTCTTTTTCTACTCTGAAGTGCTGTTGGAGCTGCTAAAATATATTTGGAGAAAGACTGGACAGTCCCTCGGAGTGAAAGGCTACTTTTTATACACTGCTCTATGTTGCAGCTTCCCAAAGATGTCCTTCGAGGTCTGAAGTGAAAGCTCTGCCGAGGAAGACCGAGAGCCGAGCTGCTACACCAACAGCTACAACAGCAGCAGCAAGTGGGGCGTTGGTGGCTCACACCTTTAATCCCAGCACTCGGGAGGCAGAGGCAGGCGGATCTCTGTGA